ATCACCCTTGAAAGAGCCAGAAGATTCCAACTCTGTCTCCCTACTCATTACCTGTGGAGGGGGCGGGGGCAGCTGCTCCAAGTCCGCAAGGAGTGACGCCCCCGTTGGGCCAAGGGGTTCTTCCTCAGCAGGAGGCAGGTATGCCGGTGGGGGTGGCGGAGGAGGGGGAAGGAGGTCCAGATCCGGAAGTGAGTCCTCGCTGCCCAGGGCAGGAGGGGGAGGACACCCTGCAAGCAGAAGGGGAGGGAAGTTGGCCAGTGCCTCTAAGGGGGACTGAGGTGTCCACTACCCAGAAAACCAGAGCGGGTGGCGGAGGGCTCAGGTACAGGTTCACCCGGGTCATTTACGGGCTCTGTGTCCTTACATAAAGACTTAAGTTCCTCTACATCTCCATTTGCTCCAGCGAGAAATGGATCGTCCCAGCCTAGGGTTGAGGGGCCGATGAGATGGCGTCACACAGGGATTTGCACAACCAGTGGTACGGACGCAGAAAATGCTAGCTGTCCAGGGCCTTCATGCCAGACCGCCCTGACGAGGGGGACGGAGTCCTGGAATCCCTCCCAGGGAGCCCTTGCTAAGATACCGGAGCCGTGCCCCCAAGCCAGGGTTTTCAGACTGTGCTCTGGCCAGGCAATATCAGCACCACCATGGAGCCAGCCCCAGCCCTGCAGAGCCACACTGTGCGAGGGGCCTGGTCACCTGGAGCCACAGCTCTTGGGGTGGTGCGGATGATCAAGTGAAGGCAGCACCGCTTTGAGAACAGATCTAGGCGGGGCAGACGCTCAGCTCCAGAAAACAGCACCCCTGGCCGGCTCTTTAGTCAGGCCCCTGTCCTGACTTTGAGAACACTTCACCAAAGTATCGGCTCAAAAATACAAGCCAAGCTCGCTAATCCGGCACAGCATCACGGGTGGGGAATCAATATTCTGCCGAGGGCTATCGATATTTATAACCTCATTCAAGGGCCATGCAAAATTATCAGCCGAAAACTTAACCGGCTATATCTGGTCCCACATTTTAAGGCGATGGTTGGAACTGCTTCTCTTTGGTGAGGCGCGTGATGGTAACTGGTCTTGATGATTTCCTGGGCCTGAAAGGGCCCACAGGCCAGACGGTCCCTGCACCACCACCCCTACATGAAAGTTCCAACCACACCTTCCCCGCTTTCACAGGTGGAAACTGGTCTGTGATGGGCTCACGATCACATTCTTCAGTTTCCCCTCTTTCTCCACGCAGCAGGGTAAGCCCGCAGCCTGCTCGGATCCAACCCCAACCCACTCACTGCCATCAGGTCGCGACTGACAGCCCCAGCTGACCCAGCAGAGGTCAGACAGCCCCACCGGGTTTCTCCGCCTATACACCTTGGCGGGAGCAGAAGGCCTCATCTTCCTCCTGTGGAAAGGCTGGTGGGTTTGGACCACTGACTTTACAGCCCACTGCTACCATGGAGGCTCTCCGATGTAAAAATAGTTACAACTTGCAGAATGAGCCCTCACTACCGACGATGGACGCAGCAGTGGTGAATA